TTTGGTTCAAGAACCGCCGGGCCAAATGGCGACACCAGAAGCGGGCGTCTGCGGCTGCGAGGCTCCTGCCCGGAGCCAAGAAGCCCCCCAAGAACAGATGCTGATCCCCGCGAGCTGCTCCTTGGCCTGGCCGCTCGGGCCGGCTCCGAGAGGCGGCTGTCCTGCCCTCCTGTGCCCTGGCGTGAGGATCCTGTGAGTGTCCCTGCGCCGCCTGCTCCTGAAAGGAGAGAACACCGAGGACCCAGGTGCGCTCTGCTGCCCGATGGCCTGCGGGCTAGAGGCCTGGGGGCAGGACGGGCACAGAGCAGACCGGCTTCCTCGCCCCTCCTCCCAGGCACTAACCCGCCCAGGGGACAGGAACCACCGGCTGCGATCAGGGACCTAGAATCCTTTCTTTCCTGGGCCTGCGGGCCTCCCTCCTCTCTGCACCCTGCATGTGACCCGGACCTGGCCTCCAGCGCCCCGAGGCAGGGTGCGTGGTCACGTCTGTGCATCCTGGGGTTGCTGCCAGCTCCATGTTCAGACCTTTCCTGTGAGCCTATTGCAACAACGAAAAACAAACAAGCAGCTGAAACACCACAAAAGCAGTGGAGTCTAGCGCTAGCTAGTTCAGCTCAGTAGATAGAGCGTTAGCCCTTGGACTGAAGAGGTTCGATTCCTGTCATGTTGGTACCTCCGTTGCAGGCTCGAGACCTGGCCCTGGTTGGGAGGCAACCAATTGATGTGTCTCTCTGACATCGATATTTCTCTCTCTCTCTCTCCCCCCTCCCTTCCACTCTTTAAAAACCCTCGGGTGAGGATAACAAAACAAACAAACAAAAAGAAGTTGAGTCCCAAGTCTGCCCTGGCTCCACTCCCACACCCAGCCAGAACCTGTCCCTTCTCTCTCCTTCCCAGGGAGGGGGGCGGGCAGCTTGCCTTGGGGAGCACAGTCCAGTAAGTACTCCATCCCTGCACCAGGGTGCCCCTCAGCAGAGCAGACTGCCCTACCAGTACTGGTCTGGCACCCTGGAGGCCTGCACTGGCCTCTACCTGCTGCTTCATGGGGGGGGAAAACCCAGGTACATGCCCTTGACCGGAATCGAACCTGGGACCTTTCAGTCCGCAGGCTGATGCTCTATCCACTGAGCCAAACCGGTTTCGGCCCTGGGGGGCAGATTTCCATGCTGTGGTGTCTGCCTCCCTCACAGCAGTCAATCTCTGCCACCCTGTAGGACCAGAGGAGGCTCAGCTGGGGAGACCTACCCACACACAGACTGCCTTGAAAACGTCTGCTTTCCCTTCCATCATCCTGCCCCCTGGCTGGAGGATAGGGTGGAAATGTGACTTCAGTTCCCCAATTAGACCCAGACAGTGGGCCCTAGGAACCTAACACCCCTCCTCTGGCTCGAGGACCTTGCTCTGCCCCCTCACAGGTCCTGGAGGGAGTTTGGGAGGAGTATCTGGCAGGAGACACAGTTCTTCCATAAAAGTCACAGACGTCAGGGCTGCAGCTCTTGGGACTGTCCAAGGCTGGCCAGCTCAGACAACACCCAGCAGGCATGGTGTTCCCTGCCAGGGCCACCAGAGGTGCGGGTGCTGCCAAGACAGCAGCTGTTGCCTCGCCTCCCAGCATGCACACTTCTGGCTGTCACCGAGCTCTTTTCCCTGAATCCCGGCCTTATCCTTGGCCACGGCACAGTCGGCCTGCGGAGCTCCGCCTTTGCTGGGACATGCTCATCTCGCTGGGTTACTGGACCTTTGCCCTCCTTGGCTGAGTGGTTATTTGTCTTTGTGTGTGAGGCAGCCAGGATTAAAGTTCCATCTTCAAGGGACCGGTGGCTATGTTGCCCTTTTGATTTTTCTCCTTTCTCTCTAGCTGCTCTTGGGCAGGCCCACCTCCACAGCTGGCTGGTAACTTATACTAGTAGGTATCCTTGAGGCTGAGTCTCAGGCACCCCCCTCTCATCTCCATTTTCACCCTGGTCTATCTCTTCCATTCTCAGCTGCCACATTTACATATCCAGCTCAGGCCCCTCCCCAGAACTAGATATTTATGGCTAACTGACCCTTTGATTATTTTACCTGGAAGCCCACAGGCTCTCTAAGTCACCTAGTCCTGGGAAGGCAAGCTCTTCCCCCGTACATACAAGGTGCATGAACCAAAGGGCAGGCAATTACCCTGGCCCCGCCTCTCCCTTACCAACCAGACACAAGCCAACAGCAAGTTGATCTCAACTTCCAAAAACAATCCCAGAATCTACTTTCTCCTCAGCTTCAGTTGCACCAGCCTGATGAAAACCTCCATCATCTCTCACCTTGATCATTGCAGCCACCTTCAGTCTTGCCACCTCTATCCTCTCTGGTTCCTTTTTAATTCATTCTGCATAACCTCTGCAAGTCTGAACCTGCCTCTCCCCTGACTACAGCACTCCAAGGGCTTCCCATTGCCCCATGACCCACAGGTTCCATCAATTGCAGCCTGGCCTGCCTCTCTGGCATCATCTCACACCTCACTGCTCCTTGTACTCTGTATTTCCCAAGGTCTTCTCCCTCATGCTGCTTTTTGCCCATGCTTTTCCCTCTCCACCTGATCAATGCCTGTTCATCATTTGGATCTGCAGTCACCCCCTGCCCAGGAAAACTTCCCCTGACTGGAGATTCCTCAAGCACAAACTCTGTTCTTGCTCCTGTCAACTGCAGTTGTAAGCTTGTTCGTGGGATGACCTAACCAGGGTCTGTCTTCCTCATTGGACTCTATTAGCTCTGTGAGGGCAGGAACCATCACCATGGAATCCCCAGAGAATAAAGGAATGACTGCTTATTGTACTAAATCATGTTGGGATAACATTACTTTTTTGACATTAATTCTCAATCTCCTTTTGAGAATAAGTTATCAATCCTGAAAAATGCTTAGGCAATTTTCTGGTCCACTTCAATGAGAATGAACCCTCTTCTGGGAGCCCACTCTGGCATTTGGGGACCTGAAATTTTTTTTCAAATTTTCTTGTTTTCGTACCCCATTGCCCTCTTTCTCCCCTCCCCCCACCACTCCCAGGGACCTGAAAAATTTTAACCAGATATTTATTTATTGAACCATTATATTTTGCTTTCTTTTTTCTTTTGTTAGGTAACTATCAAAAATTGTCTTAGAGTTCTTTTCTTGCATAAATTTTTTTGCATAAAATTTTAATAAAAGCTTTGAAACGTGTATATAACCAAAATTCTTGAAGTGTGTGTTTTTGTTGATAATATGGAAGCATATGCAGTGATTATTTGCCAAATATCGGGATGCCAAAGCCTTACTTAATACAGGAACTTTTCACGATTAGAGTGAATGACACGCCCCTTAACCCCGCCACCACCACAGCGCCGCCTAGTGCCCACAGCTCAGGTACATAAGAATACCGAGGGGTGGGAAGAAGACTACAATTCCCATAAGGGCGAGGGCCTGTGGTGACGTCATTGCGGCGCGCGGGTCGGCCTCCGAAACGCGCAGTTCTCCCATTGGCCAACAGTTGGAAGCGCTGGTGCAGCCGGCACAGTCCCGCCCCTCTGACGCTGTGACGCGCCTTCTGAGCAGTCCTGGGATAGCGATGGAGACGCCCAGCGCGTCTCCCCGGGCCCTGCTGCTTTCCACCGCGTCCGGGCCCGGGAGAAAGCGGGCGGCCGGAGAGGCCGGGGGTGTGACGAGGAAGCAAAAGGTCTTGGACGAGGAAGAATACATCGAGGTAAGACCTCGGCGCGGACGCCAGCGACTTCTGGGTCCTCCCCTCCCACCCCATCCCCCTCGCGCTCCTCTGGGGTACCCCCCCTCCCCCCACTGGTTGAGGCACTCTCCTCATCTCGCCGAGGTGAAGCAGCCCCAGTCCCTGCCCTTGCGGTTTGGACGGTACGAGAGCCAAATAAGCACAATGCAGCAGGGGGTGGGTGTCCGTGATGGAGGAAGCAGTGTTGTAGGCGAGAGAGGAGGCAGCGCTGCTTGTATGTGCGGGGGATTAGGGAAACAAGGTTTTCTATGAACGCGTAAGTGAGTTTGGAAGGCCAGTGGCAAAGAGGACTTTCTAGAGAGCGGCAATGGCGAGTGCAAAGGCTGGGAGTCCTGCGATTGTGGCGGCATCTTGAAATCTACCGCAAACAGGCAAGAGGAGGCGATTGGAGGATGTGTTTGGTGTGGGACCGGTTAAGTTTGGGAGGCTTCTAGGTTGTACAGACAGGGGGCGTTAGTGGACAGCTGGGTGCGCAAATGTACAGCTGAGGAGCAAGGTCTGGCCGGAGGTGCAGGGTTGGGGATCACAATTCGTGCTGGTGACGGGTGTGTGTGTGTCTGAAGTCATCCAGGTAAAGGAGGACCCAGATGTCCCTGAGGTCTTATACTGGAAACAGGAGCTCACTGTTGGAGTGAAGGTGGCAGTCTGCCTTCTCCCCAGCTTCAGTTGCACCAACCTGATGAAAACCTTGATCCAGCAGGTGTGGAAGTGGGGTCAGCAGATGCGAATGAGAATGACCAGTTAGTAAGGGAGAGAGAACGGCTTCATGGAAATCAGAGGAACATTTAGCAATGTCAGATGTTACAGACACATGGGATGTTTTTTAAAATGCTATTTTTATTTATTTATTGACTTGGGAGAGTGAAGAAAACATGGACTTATTGTTCCATCCACTTATACATTCATTGGTTGGCTCCCTAACCAGGGATCAAACCCACAACCCTGGCACATTGGGAGGATGCTCCAGCTGAGCTACCCGACCATGGCAGGGATGCTGTCCTCATCAGAAGATGCCCCTAAACTCGGGAGCATTGGGCTGGACAGAGGTGGGGGGGGGGCAGATGGTCAGCAGTGGCCTTAGCGTGTGCATCAGTTGACAGAGCAGGTGAGCCTGGATGGCAGCTCTGACTCTTGCTCTGATCTCTCCTGACAGGGCCTCCAGACAGTCATCCAGAGGGACTTCTTTCCTGACGTGGAGAAGCTGCAGGCACAGAAGGAATATCTGGAGGCCGAGGAGAATGGAGACCTGGAACGGATGCGCCAGATCGCCATCAAGTTTGGCTCTGCTCTGGGCAAGATGTCCCGAGAGCCCCCGCCGCCCTGTAAGAGGACTCCTGTGGGCGGCACAGCCGGGATCGATCTCTGAACTGTTGCCTCGGGTTCGCTCTAATCCCCGTTCCTTCCCTTTCCCCAGATGTGACTCCAGCCACGTTTGAAACCCCAGAGGTGCACACAGGGACTGGAGTGGGGGGCCACAAGCCCCAGGGCCGAGGCCAGGGCCTGGAGGATGGTGATGGTGAGTGCCCTCTTTCTGTCACATGGTCGGTGACCCCTGGCCCTGCGCTAGGAAGGGGCCCTCGCTGACCCAGCCCAGCTTCTCTAGGGAGCGCCCCTCCTCCAAGCTAAGCCCATGGCTGTAGGGGCCTGGGCCTGCCTTGGGCACATAGTGGCCTTGTTTCCTTCCCAGAAGGCAGAGATGCCAGGGTTCCAGAATCCTGGGGAAGGATAGAGGGCCAGCTGCCAGCCTTGGTGTTTGTTAGCTGGAATGTACCCTGGTTTGGGGGGATGGCTGCAGTGGGTGGCAGGGCTCCGGGCTCACCCCCACTTGGGTCACTGATGGCACCCCACCCCAAGGGAAGGGACACTCAGGGGTTTCCAGAGCTGCCATATCTCCCAGGACCCTGGGCAAACCTGTTCATGGGTGCTCCCCTTCCAGTCTGAGTCAGATCGCACACTTCACTTGGCATCCAGCAGATGAGGAGAGCCACTGAAGGCTCCCTGGGCACTTGGGGTGGTTGATTCTGCCCCCCTGGGCAGGGAGTTGTCTGGCAGTGTGGGCTCTCAGAACCAGACCCAGGATCAGGTGTGAGAGTTCTAGCCCTGCTTGTAGGTAAGTGCGGTTCCCGGGACCCACAGACTGCAAAGTGGTGTTTGTGCCATTTATGGTTCTGTGTCACCCCCTCCTCCCTTTACCCCTGAGCAGGAGAGGCTGGAGAGGAGGAGGAGAAGGAGCCCCTGCCCAGCCTGGATGTCTTCCTGAGCCGGTACACAAGCGAGGACAACGCCTCCTTCCAGGAGATCATGGAGGTGGCCAAGGAGAAGAGCCGGGCACGCCATGCCTGGCTCTACCAGGCCGAGGAGGAGTTTGAGAAGGTATGCCTGGGTGCAGGGGCAGCAGCACCCTCTGTTGGGGTGGCCAAGTCCCGGGGCCAGGGCACAGTGCCTAGGGCGCTCTGACCCTCGCTTTTCCTTATGTGACGCAGAGGCAGAAAGATAACCTTGCACTCCCGTCGGCAGAGCACCAAGCCATTGAGAGCAGCCAGGCCGGCGTAGAGACCTGGAAATACAAGGCCAAGAACTCCCTCATGTACTACCCAGAGGGTGAGCAGGCGGCGTGGGCAGGGCTGGGCGTTTGGATCCAGCCTCCAAGGCGTGTGTCTCTGTTCGCTAGTATTCTGGGCCTCCGAGGGGTCCTGGTCTGTCTGGGGCAGGTGGGTCTGTGTGGGAAGTCAGCGAGGGAGGGAGGCTCTCCCCAGCTTTGTTCGGGTTTTGTGATGTGGAGACTGAAGTAGGCTCCGTGGTCTGTTCAGCGGGGAATGATGTGGCCTCTCTCAGGCCCTGAGCACCCCCGTGACACCTGCTGCCATCTCTCCTCGGTCTGCCAGGCGTCCCTGATGAGGAGCAGCTGTTTAAGAAGCCCCGGCAGGTGGTGCACAAGAATACTCGCTTCCTCAGGGACCCCTTCAGCCAGGCCCTGAGCAGGTCTCAGCTGCAGCAGGCTGCTGCCCTCAATGCCCAGGTGAGTGGCGGGAGCCAGCAGCGGGCTGGCTGTGGGCAGAAATGACTTCTTGGATCTTGACTGTTCCTCTTAATTGAGTTCTTGGGCTTGGCAGCGCTCAGCAGTGCAGAAGTATTTGGGGCCCCTGTGTGGCAGGGTCCTGTGTGTTCTCGACCCATGTGGTCTCCCACTGGGGCTCTGTTTTGTCAGACACGTTCTGTGGGTCCAGATCGGTGCCAGCTCCCTTGGGGGGCAAGGGCATGAGACAAAGTCAGCTGCTGAGAGCCAGGCCTGCTTCCCTGCACCAGGCAGGGCTGGGTGTGGGGGGGCGGGGGTTAGTAGGGAGTGGGTAGGCTTTAGTGGGGGGCGCGTGGTGTGGCAAACAGCACAGATTTCCAAGCGTGGGAGTCCTGTGTGACGGCGGTTCTGGTGATCATGGAGGTGAAGGGTGGAGACAGGAGGTGGGGAGACTGCTCTGGAGGCTCTTACAGGGGCTTATGGGCAGATATCGGAGCACAGACACCCATAGTTAGTGTAGCCCCTGGAAATACCCCAGGTCGGGTGTGGCCCCCACCCTGCATGGAGGGGTGGCTAGAGGGGCGCATCCTTCTTTGGAGGCCTGCTCTGACAGGTCCTCAAGGTCTTTGCAGGGGCCAGGGGCCTCCCTACTTTTCCCCAATGGGGCTACCAGCCACAGAGACCCAGCTCTGCTCCTCAGGGCTTGGGAAGTGTTTCCACTTGTTCCTGTGCACCTGCTCATCTGCCCGGGGGGAGGGTGGTGGTGGGCCCCCTGACACAGTCTCTCTGCTTGTTCCAGCACAAACAGGGCAAGGTGGGCCCCGATGGCAAGGAGCTGATCCCCCAGGAATCCCCTCGAGTGGGCGGATTTGGATTTGTTGCCACCCCTTCTCCTGCCCCTGGTGAGAAATGCGCCCGCTGCCAAGCTGGCCCACCTGTGGACGGCCTGGGGGGAGGTGGGCTGCTTGGCTGGTCCTGGCCACTCTTGGCGCTCCCCTAGGGACTGCCCCTCACCTTGTGTGACTCAGGGACTCAGGGACCCAGTGCCCCATCCACAGGGACAGGGCTGGTCTATAAGGAGACTCGACCTGAGATGTGTGGGACCTGGTTTGTTTAGCCGGGTGGTCTGTCCCTCGCCCTAAGCTGGGCAGGACAGACTGAGTTTGTCAGAACCAGGGGTGTTGGGCCTCTGCTGGACAGACTGGTGTGG